CTGCTTTATAAATTTTATAAAGTAAAGTTACTTCCCTATTTTATAAATCACCTTTACTGTGGAACCGGTGGGCAGTTAGAAAATTTTACTACTAATAGAGATACAAAAAAGTGGGCGGTAGGTATAAAAAGGTTGACTAGCCTTGCTTTAGAAAGAATTAGAAAAGATTTTTTAAAAAATAAATAAGAAGCCACACATTCTTCATGCAACGCCTACCTAGGAATGCTGCCATGTTCATGACTTGGCTAAATACACAGCTAGCAGGAGGGACATCACCTGCAATACTTCAAAAATATAATGCGTTTCATTGTCAATCTACTAAGCCTGCAGCAAAGGTAAATAAATCAATTTAAAATAGCACAGGATGGAACAAGCCTTGTTGGGGGAAAGAAGAGAAAAGAGAGGGGGACAAGAGAAGGACAAGGGAATGATTACCTTATATATGGCGGCTTTAAAGATGTTGGTTTGCTGCTGGAACACAAAAGGAAAACTAATCACACCTAAGTCAGAATAACAACATTAGTCATTGTTTTGCATCCAAATACCTAGTTTTAAACAAATGATCTCCTTTCAAAGAAAATGAAACAGAGGCATGTGGACTTTTACTCCAAAATTGTCAGCAATGTTGAGGGGTAGGGGAACTCTAGAGTTCGGGATCCATATATTTAGAAATGTGAAATGGAAGGGTGGGAGGGCAGGGTTAATTTTCACCCTAAATAACAATTTCTAGAAGTTCTGCTTCTGAACCCTCAGGAAATTCTTTTTAGGAGGGTACTCTCCAACTTTAAGATGCCCCAAGTCTCCTTCTGCATTTGCTTCTCCCACCTGTTTCTACCCTCTTGAGAGCCGGTCTCCATTTCTGAATATAGTTGTTTGGATATGTATCCAAACATGGAGAGCTATAAGCAAGTGCATACATCAAGTCTTCTCACAACGTGTCCTTCACAACAGCACTCAGAACGGGGGCTTATAACTCGATTCTTCTCCCTGAATTGTGGGGTTATTGGTGGTCTCTGAGTTTGGTGGTTTTCTTGCAACAAAGCCACCACGTTCAACCATAATGTAAATATAAGGGTGATATGAACAAATTTATTATTGTTACAACAGTGAGTACAACTGTTATTACACTATTATGTAGGAAGTTATCACCCAGCCCTCTCCCAGAAAAATGAAATATTCTAGGAAATATTGAAAAGGCAGAATATTTCTCTGGATGTGAAAAGGAAGACACATGTTTTAAAAGACGGAATAGCTCCCTGTAGCTTCCTGCCCATCCCCACTTTGTTAATGGGCCATTAAGAAGGCCAAGCTAGTCTACTTTACATAATAAAGACTTCTCCCCTTCAGCTCCAGAGTG